GTTCCAACTTAAGTCCTTTATTTATTTGATTTAATTTAAAAAACCCTATATTCTCCTTTCTCAAAACGTACTCATTTAATTAATTAACACTTTATCTTAAAGGTATTCAACATTCATGTGCACTGCTCTGTCTGCTGTACTAACTTGATAGTCAAATGAACAAATGAAAAATATTCTTCTATTAAAAATGATTGTAATTAACGTTTAGATTTATTGTACGAATTATTAATCAAAACATTTTCTTCACTAGAAAGGTCATCATAAAATGCCAACATTGAACTTATTACAAGAAAAAATCTGCCCAACGTTCTAAAATGGTAATCCAGAGTAGATCAACTTTTACAATGCCACACGAAAATGAAAGCATATGGCTTGAAAATCATGCATTATACATATGGAGAAGGTTACACATTATAATATAATTAATATCATCTAGGTTGATTAAATTATAGTATTTCGACTAGGTGTCAACTAAAGAACAATGAGTCGAAAGGTTAATAACAAAAGCACAAATAACGTGATGCCATTAGATACGCATCTGCAAGAAATTGCTTTAGCCTCTCAATAACCCGGGATTGATTTATCTATTATATAGGGAGATAATACAGACTATTTTCTTACTAGTTATGTTTTGATATGCGTATCAAGTTCTTAAGCTTGCTGTTAAGTAATAGATTCGTTGAAAATCGAACAAAATCGAATAATTGAATCCTAACGAAAAATTCGCTGTGTTCTAACCAGAATAATCACTATTTTCGGAGCGAATTCTATCTTAGGTTCAGAGGTAAAATATTCTTTCAATGGATGATTCAGTAAGACATTTTTGGAAAAACAAGATTAGTTTTTAAAAGTCGAATAGACACCATATTGCTAAAAAAACCATTGTCCTTCGAAAAGTTGTTTTCTCCAATGAAATAAATAGAAAAAATAAAAACATGCTGAAAAAATCACACAGTGGCTCGCCCTGTAATGCCCCATTTCCGCAATTTTGAGTATGTAAAACTGGGTTTTTTTTTTATTTCAGCCCGGCATAAAGTTCCCATAATACACAAGGTCATGTTAAACAATACATAGCAAGAATTGATATAATTTAGATAGCTAAATATAGTAGTTTTACTCTACTTGCTCCCGACATGTGAATTTTCGACACTCCATTTTTGGTATCGAATTGCGAAATCAATATAACATATTTAACTAAATGGGGTTTAAGGTAAATAACCTTTTTCCTTGAAATGAAGTTTATCGCTTCAGTTAACTGCAAAATTACGGAATTGTCAAGGGATTTTCCGCCTCATCGATCAAGTATTGAAACTTGTTGATCAGTTTTTATTTTACACAAAAAGAATCGGAATCGGCTGAATGTCAAGCTTTTTGCTTCAGTTATTGCATTGTATAATACCCTTATTGCCAAGTTGCAAACTAAATTAATTTCTAAACATACAATGTGCATCAAAATATTGGCTAAACTGTAAATACATGGACTAAAAGATATCAAGCAATTATTCACAAAATTGTAAATGGTAACATGTTTCCGAAATCAAACTATTTAAATAAATTAATTAGTGTATTTTAGTTACATCAGATTTTGCTAAACTAAAATTGAGTACCTACATGACACACAACATACACAAAATGTTTAATTTGTCGATATAAAATTATCAAGTTATAACTGTATATGTATTAAAACTGAACCGAAAAATGTACCAAACAGATACTAAATACTCGTATTTCGAATACACCTCAACTTTGCGAAAGTGATTTTCAATGGTCATGCACTGACAATATATTTTCAGTGGATGATGGCAATTTCAAAGTTCAAAAAAAGGCTCTGAAACCCTAAATCTTTAGTAAAATATTTAAAACTCTAAGATAAAAAATAATAGAGTGAACACTTTTCGCATGTTAATCACTTCACTAAAACTTCCAATCAAACTAAGTCCTACTCGGTAAAAAGTAACTCCAATCAAACTAACTAAAAACTGCTAACACTGCTCAAGCAAATGTTTAAAGTATAATTTTCCAATTAAAAATGATTATAAAGTATCATCCAATTAATGAAAAAGTGACCACATACGAAAGGTACTCACTCTGTACTGGGTATCCGGTACCTGGTAACAATGAGAAAAAATTGTCCGGCGGAACCTGAAGCGATCTTTAAGAAGGTTGGCAAGGTACACTGATCCATTTTCGTACGAAACCGGCATAAGAAACAATTATTAGTTGAAATTTTTACATTGAATTTCGACTAAGTTCAGGGCTACTTGCCACCAGTACCTGGGGTGTGGTACTGGTATAAATATTAAGGAGAATTTTGGATAGGCAGTCATTTGCATTTGTCAGCAAAAACAAGAAACAATATGTTTGTAAAACTGGTAAGTGCGCTCTTATGTTTCGTACTTGTACGGTTTGAGGTTTTGTATTTTATTTTTATATTATGTGGCTTTAGAACATTATATAAAGAGTAGGTGATTGTTTTAATAAAAAATAATTGATAGGCGTCTCAAGTGAAGTAAGTTTTAATTACAAAACTTTGTGGTCGAATTTGAACTTTGCGGGAATTATCAACTTTTTAATTCACTTTCAATAATGTTTGCATCTGCTTTTAAGTCAAACTTGAGCATTTTAGTCGGTATTTAATTATTCACTTATTTTTATTACTTTTCATTAGTTGCACGTTGTTTGAAGGAATATTTCTCGCCTAAAAGTCCACTGGTTCGAGATTTATTCATGAAGAAATAATATATTATTGGACTTATTGGAGCCCAAATCCAAATTAAAGATTCTTGAAAATTAAAGATCTGAATTAATGCAAATCGCGTTCTTACCGTATACAAACTTTTCCGTATTTTGAAATATAATAAATGAAAGTAATTTATTAATTCCTTAGCCGTTATCATCATCGATTTATATGCATTTTCATAAAAAGTGGCAGATATATGAAGACTAAAGCTGTTCTGAAAATATCGCTCTTAGCCATATCCAGAAAACCCATAAAAATTTGAAACAAAATGTAAGGTGTCTTGCAAAAAGTTAATTATGGTACAAATTGATTCATCAGAAATTACAATTACTTTTCTAAACATCCAACTGAAACTTAAATATAAGGCGTAGGAAGAAATACTTTAAAGTTTAAAAATACATGATAAAATTAAATGAAAAAAATAAAAAATTTAATTCAATGAAACTTATTTACGCTAAAAATAACTCCAAAAACCTCTTTTCATTTTTTTTAAATGATATGAAAACTTTGGCTTAAGTGATTTCGCCATCGGACTCAGGAAAATTAAATATTCGACATCTTTTTTTTGGTTGTTTTGTTGAAAAGAGTAATTATCTCACACAATTTATGGAATAGAGTTTCTAATATCAGTTCATTTATATATAAAATAGCAGATTGTCATTATAGCAGAAGATAAAAATTACCGAATTAACTTAATGAAAACGTATACAAACTAATTTCTATAAAGATTTGAAAAAAACGGAAAAGCTGTTTCAAGGAAAATAATTTAAAAATTAACAACGGCAGACTTTATAATGCATTTATTAAGCTGACCAATTATCTGAAGACGTCGAAAAATTTACTCTAGATGACTTTGTTTACTAAAGATAAGAAGACTTTGTTTCGACAATTGTTTGATTTAATATTTGTTACTGAAATGTCGATAATTGAAAATGAAGGAAATGTTATTTACATTCTATCGAAAGCAAAACTCTATAATAAAATATACTTCGTAACTGATTGTTTGATTTTAAAACTAGAGCTCCGGAACATCGACTTTCTCCTTTCTTAGGTAAACAGCGTGCACTTTATTTATCAATTTTAATAACATTTTTAAAGCGAAAAAAACACCAATTTTTTATATATTTTAACATATACTTCACAAGTACTACTCCTTTGAAAACCGATATAAAACTTACTTATAAATTAAGATTTCTCGATGAAAATATACACTGTAAATAAAATATGGTGAATCAAATTGCTCGTCAGGGTAAAAGGATATGCATATTGTTTAAAATACCACGTAACTTCGCCTCCGCATTTCCCAAAAGAGACTGATTTATTTGCGAGACATCAGATGTGGGTTGTGTTCCAACGACTAATTAGAGGTGAAACCTTAATTGGAAGACTTAGTCAAATACTCAGTATATTTGGGCCAATTATCCAACCGTTAGGAATATGCTAGGAACAACAACTGTAGCAAGTGCAAGAAGGTTTAGGGGTCTCCAAAAAGTATGACTTGAGTAAATGCTGGAAAATGTTTTAGAACTAGGATATAAATAATTTTCAATAAATAGCTACAATTGTACCATTGTTTGGTTCAGGCCGTCTTCGTTTGCTTCGCCGGATCCGTCCTGGCTCAACATCAATCCTACCAAGGACCCCTAGCCGGAGGCCAACCAGCTTCCCTCTACCCAGCGGGAATCAACCCACAATCATGCCCTAACTACCCTGATTGCTCCAACCCCTTGGTCGCCATCAGTCAAAACGCCGCCCCTCAATACCAACAGTCTGCCCCACAATATCAACAACCCGCCCCACAGTACCAACAACCCGCCCCTCAATACCAGCAACCCGCCCCTCAATACCCACAAGTGAGTTCAACATTTTCCGAGTCTGCATAGGAACTTTATATTAACTAATGTGTGCTTGTGCAGTATCAAGCCCCAGTTGCAGCCACCCCTGCACCAGTATCTCAGTACAACCCAGTGTACCCCCAACAGTACGCCCCTGCTGCTCAAAGCCAATACTCTTCCGATGTTCAACAGAGATTGGACCGTGGTGAATACATTGGAGACGGTGACTACCGTGGAGAAGGTTTGGCTGAAGCTTTGGCTCCTGGATACGCCGGTGAGTTGTTGGACACGATCAGAAGGGTTCATGTTGGCTAATTGCTCGGTTCTTGCAGGTCAAGCTCAGGCTGCCCTAGTTAACCAGTACAACCCTGCACCAGCTCCCCAATACAACTCAGCCCCAGCTTACCAGCCAGCCCCCCAACAGTACTCCGCCCCTGCCCAGCCTGCTCAAATCCCAGCTGGTGTGAATGCTCAAGCTTGCCCCAACTACCCATTCTGCCATGCGTAAAGACTCCAACTGAAACACTTAGACTGCCAGCTGACAACATGTTGTTATCCAAAGTTTCACATGTAGATAGTTTTTTTTGTAAATGTGCCTTAATCTATTTCGTACGTACTTTTTAGTTGTATAAAGTTGTGATTTTATACAAGAAAAATACAGTTTATATTTATAATAGTTTCACTATTTTTTCCGCTCTTTACCTAAATCAGGCGGATTTTGATAGTTTCTTCCAACAAACATACTTGAAGTGTTAAAACAAATGCTCTAAATACATATGTTATAATTATTTATTCAGGCTCTTTCATGACACTTTTGATGGCCAGTTTGCAAATAGTATTTCCACATAGAACCGAATTAGCATAATAAAACAATGTGCTGATCAAAGGCAGCGATTAGAGCAACTGCTTCGGAACTAGTTCTTGTCCTTTATCGTCAACATTTCTTTGCTCTAAATGTTGGCATTGACATTCTTCCATTAGCCAATTTAAAATTCACATAATATTAATTATTCAAACATTTTTATTTGCATATGCCTTGTTTTATATCAAATACTCGGCGAAAGTGAACCAGTTCTACATCCGACACGTCTAAATTAATTGGTGATTTTGCGATTCCAAAATTATCATGACAAGTACACGGCCTTGCTCTGATGGGTTGCATTTTAACGAAGGATGGAAAACAAGTTTAGTTTTATTACGGTATTTATTTTACATAATGTGATTCATCACATTTAAGTGCTTAACAACGGACATATTCCAAACAATATAAGCAAATTTCTAGATTTATCTGATAGTTCACAAACTTTATTTGAATCACTTGTATCTGTGAGTTACTCGTTAAGTGAAAAAAATGCCTTATACCAAATAGAAACATTGAAGCCTAAAGTACAGGGTGTCCCGAAGCACATGATCAAAAGGATACGAGATACTATTTGCATCAAAAGGACGATCTGGCCTAACTTTTATTAACAAGAAATGTCTGGCTCCTCAGCTATTGATGGTCCAAGTGCTTCAAACAAATTATCTGGTTTGAAATATTGGGAGAATAGTACGATGTATTTTAGTGAAACTCGCTGTAAATTTGTTCCTATAGATTAAACTCATATTTTGATGAAACAATCGAATTCATTCGTTTTGTACAAGTGGTGACTTCCTGAGTGTAGTGGTACAAAAACTACCAGAACTTTTTATTTGGTGGATGAAATCAACTCATTTGTTTTTTGGTTGATACACTAATATCATTTATTCAAAATTTTGTGCTCTTTGTAAGATTTTGTATCATTCATAGTTTTTGCGAAAAAAATATTTTCTTGGCACTTCACAATGTTAGAAAAAGTTCTGGTAGTTTTTGTACCACGACACTCAAGAATTCACCACTTCACCACCAAAACAACCCAACTCCATTGTTTCATCAAAATGTGAGTCTTCCATAAGAACAAATTCACAGCGAGTTTCACCAAAATGCTATCGTACCATTCTCCCAATATTTCAAAAAAGATAAATTTTTTGAAGAATTTTGATCATCAAGCAGAGGAGCCATACATTTTTTGTTAATAAAAGTTAGGTCAGATCGTCTTCAAAGAATATCGCAGTACCCTTTTGATATGTGCTTACTGGACACTTTTTATAGATAGATAAGATATTTAATTTCTTCACTACATTTTTTTCGTGAATCTCAAGCATTGGTTTCATTTGTTGATTTTAATTTCTTGTTCCTTTCCAGGATCTGATTTCATCACCAGTTAGTTTTCTAAACATCTTGATATATACGTCGTTTTTAATTTCTCTTATTTCTATGTTTTTCTGTGCTATATTTTATTCCAATAGAGTTCAGATTTCTATAGACTTTAACATGATTTTTGTGCTGTTTTCGAATATTGCTAACCAAGTTCTTTAATTCCGTCGTTTCTAATTGATCTAATTTCTTCATGGAAATATTAAAATCGAATTTGAATCTGAAGGAAAAAACTAGCATCTTCTCTTTATTGAAGCATAATTCTATTTTTCATAAAACTAAAAAATCCAAGTTTCCACGTCAAAAAAAATTAAAAACACTGAAATTTTTATAAAAAATGGTTATTAGACGGTTTTGAATAATAATTAATTTTGTGCATCAATTTGGTTGGAACCACAATTCTTAAAATAATAAGCCATAGAAAGTAAATATGAATTTTAAACATTTTAATCTTGTGAAAGATCTTTGATGAGCTCCTAAAGGACAAGACATTTAATTGGACATTTGGTCAAACCCATATTTGGCCTGTATCATTGGCTAGTATTTATAAATAAAAATGCAAGATTACTTTCATTGTCTGAAGCTTCATGCACGATTTTCGGGAAGATCCAATAATTGTCACTATTGATGGGAACTATAACCATTAGCTGTACAAGATGTTCTTCTTGCTTGCAAGAACATAACTTCATTTCAAGTGCTTGAGAAGCAATGAAGCAAGTATATCAAACTTCTTCTTCATCTTCCAGCAATCTTCCAAACTATAGTTGGTTCACGGAATCACTAACTCAGTCTCAAGTTGAAACGATAAAAAGAATATAAGTTGCCCATTTTCGATTTACACTCAAAACAAATAGAAAAAAATATATTGTAAAGGTTGTTGTGTATTCAGAATAAAAATTTAAAAATTTAGCAGGTTTTCATTGATACCAATTTGATACGATTGACTTTCAATAATGAATGCAACTTTGTAAACTACGTGAGGTAAACCTTTTTTCAAATTTAAGTTTCGCGCTATAGAACCCTAAACTCATTTAAACGAAATTGTGTTTTTGCAAACGTTACACAACATATTGGCAAATTTCTTCAGGCATTCATTTGAGGTAACAAATGAAAATGGAATGAAGTTTTAACATTTGAAACCATAACGGTTTGCCAAAGTTCCTAAAACTTGACCATAAAATAGATTTAATATCAGTAAACAAACCCAACTTATTGGATAAAAGCCAAAGAACTGCAGGTTTTTGCTAAAACCAGACGCCTGGCACCACATCGATTAAACAATTTGATTTCCGCATTAATTGGTATTCATCTAACAAAGAGATTTCTCCGATACATGTGGTAAATGAGAAAAGTGCAAGTTTATAGACAATTGATAGCGATTACATATTTCTCAACTGTATTATTCTGTCAATATCAAGAGATTGGGCAGTTTTCAGTCATATATTTCCATCATGATAAGGTAAAACCCTGGAGACGACCGAAGCCTCCATAGTTGTGAGAGGAATAGGTTTCAAGAAATTAGCAAACCAAATTCCATTTTTTAATTAGAAATTCACTTGCACCTAGTTAAAATTTATTTGAACAATCGATGTTCGCAGCTAAGAAACTTTGTGGAGACTGAAGGATGAATTACATAAAGTTGTTTTTATCCAGAGTTTATTAAACATCTAGATTCGTTTGCGTTCTTAGATAGATAGATAATTAGTCATCGCTCATCGCCATCAAGCTGCATCTCTCAGAATTTCTTTGCATTCTGCCTGTCTGGCTTTTTAGTTTGTTGAAGACTTTCTTTTGCAAACTACACAATTTTTTGAAAATGTCTACCTTTTTCTTTGACAAGTGGTATTTGTATAAATTTATGTTATTTTTATACATAAATTTCAGAAATAAATCTGCTTCTTTCAACTTTAAATTTGCTCTTGGGAAGAGAAATTAAGCACGAAAATCCTAATTACAGGCGGTTTCCCAAATCAGTTGTTCGTAATTAACAAAAAAGCAACCCTTAACTAATAAATATTAATAATGTATTTGTTTCTTTTGAATCACGATATTTTTAAAGTTGGCACTTAAAATACTTTTTTATTAATCCAACATCGTCCAAACTCTAGCTGAACACATATTTCGTTACTAGATTAAAAGCTTTCTATAGAAAAATGAATACATTAGCTAAAACCAACAAATGTCGCAGCTCATGTACCAAGTGCAGACACTAATTTATTAATGAAACAATAATGTACGTAAATGCACATCGAAGTTAATAACTCAAAACAACTCTCAACCTGCCATTCCCCGTTTTGGTCAAGTAAATGCATACAACTAACTGACATTTTGAAACAACAAAATGTTGTTCATACTAGGAGGTCGTTCTAGATCGAAGATTAATTTGAAATCAGCTGCAATCGATTTCGTGCAACTGATGTCACGTTTCGACCATGGACTAATAGGAATCAGCTAAATTTCGTAATTTTTTTGGCAGTTTTATTCTGCTTTGGAAGTAAGAAACTCTTCAAATTTGAATGTTGTCATTTATCATTACAAAATTTACATTTACAGGATATTTCAAGCATCTCTTAAGGTTGCCCTAGAACAAGATTAATTTTCAGCAATTATTCTTCAGCTTCAGTATTAACACAAAGTAATTTCAGTAGCATTGTACTTTCCCATCAGCATTTCTTTCTTTGGAGAATATTTAATATTAAGCACAAAATGAAAAACGTGTAAAAGTGCTATTTTGGAAGAGTTAGTGGCAAAAATCGAAGTTCAGATGTGATTCGTAAAAAAATAAAACAAGACAACCTCTAAAATTTTCAGTATAATATTAAATTTAAGTATAAGAAAATTTCGTAACAAAGTCCTAATTATATTTCCTTTTAAACCACTAGACTGCTATAAATCTCCAAAATATATAAAAGGCCGATATTTATTTTTTCATTAGTATTTACATATTTTAAGCTATAGCTTTTTCTTTAAAAAATGGCAATTCTTTTGGCAAGTTGTACCACTATTGTCATGAAATTAAATTTTTTGAAACTAAATTTTTCTAAATTCCTTACGCAAAAAAATTATTAACTTGATAATCTTAGAGGCAGTTTATTGTGGAAATGCACTAAGAAAAAATGTATTTCGACAATAAATAATGATTTGAAGCTAAAGTAAGACGTTGAAACTGAAAAGTTTGCTAATAGGTAATAAGAAATGTTTTTATTCGTTAGGTGTAGAAAATTGTAAATAGCCCGTTGAAATGGCTTATTTAAATTGCGCTCTATATGCAAAGTTTTACAACCCTACAAGAAAAAACTTATTTTTCTTTGATAGGAACATATTGAATGAACAAAATTTAATTTTATCATAACTTTTGAAATATTCTATTTTATCATATCTTTATAAGCGTATACTAAAAATATGCTTCTAGGCAATCGCATCTGAGGACTGGATAATAT